TGATCACAATGACATCAAGAATGGATATGTCTCTATGGCAGTGTCGTTGTGGTGGTGCCACTATGGCGGTGTAATTGGCGTCAAAAAAATTGACAATGACAACTCTTAGTTACAAAAAAATGAACACAGTGACATAAAATATTTGCAATGACATCATGTTTTCTAATTCCTCATATATGATTTTCTTGATCACGTTTTTGCCTCTTTTTGAAAGTAGTCACTTTTTGATAATTGGTTCAAAAGTAGTAATATTCAAGTAAAAAACCCTAATATTTTTCTGCACACGTATAATACACTTTGGCTTCATTTTTAACGGGGATTGCTAGTAGGTATGGACCCGGGCCGGGTCGGGCCCGGGCCGGGTCAAGGCCCGGTCGGGCCTCGGGTCCTATAAGGGTAGGCCCGGGACTGGCCCGGTCAATGACCAGTTCCGGTTCGGGCAGGGTCACCCGCCCGGGTCACGGGTCGGGCCACCTGCCGGGTCGGGCCGGGCCGGGCCAATAAATTTTTTTTTTATTAATTATATATTATACAAATTGCTATTAAAAACAAAGTTCAAGTGCATTTATTTGAAATAAGAATTACATTTGAGAATTGAGAAAAAAATAACAATACGAAATACATTTTGTAAATTGTAATGAATATCAATTGGGATTTCCGCCACCGTTGGTTGTTGTTTTCCCTTTGTCACAGGACTTCATATGTTTTATTGGAATCCCGTATCCGTATGAACGCCCCAAGCAACAGTCTTTCTTGCACCACCTGCAAGTTGCCCACCACAGTCCGGTCTTCGGTTCCTTCCACTTGTCAAAATTGTTTTGCATAAGGGAAGATGTACTTTCCATATTTAAAATGGTATATGTATAACAGTATAAGTAATTAAGTAGGAATGTAGGATAATAAGAGAAGATAAAGATGGAGAAGAGTTTGAGAAGAATTGGAGAAAAGGTGTAGAAAAATGTTAGAAAATAGATGTATTTATAGGTGTTTTTGAACCCCACTCCCCACACCACCACCCCCGGGACCCCCCTGCCCCCCACCCATAGCCCCAACGGCTATATAGCCGTTTGGGAGCTTTGAAATTTTTTTTTTTTTTAAGTCATACACATATTGTAAAATAAATTAATTAATTTAATAAATTAAGTAAAACTAAAACAAATGTTACAAAATAGGTGTATAAGTATTTAAACAAATTACATATTCTAAATGTATTTTTAATTTAAAAACCGGCTTTATATTTTAGAAAAATAATTTTAAATCGTTAGATTGTAACCAATTAATTAATTTGAGAAGTGCTACATATGAAAAAGTGAACACATTTATTTGAAATATGAAGTACAAGTTTACAAATTAATTTGAACTACAACTACAAATTTACAATTTTGAAATATGAAGTAGAAGTTTACAATTTTGAAATATGAAGTACAAGTATAAATAAATTTGACAAGAGCTATAAAATACATTTTGTACTAAATTCTAAAATACTAATCAATCGGAATCTCCGGCATAGGTAGAGCCACCATCGGTTGTTGAGTCATCCATAAAATCTTGAGAGGGGGTGATGCTCAATTCTTGAGTTCTACGTGCGGCCTTCAACCAATCGTGGTAGCATATAAGCGTCTCAAGAGACTCCGCGCTCAATCTCGATCTAGATGCCGTTAGGACATTGCCGGCCGAACTAAATTCTTGTTCAACAGCAACTGTTGAAATCGGCATTGATAGTATTAGTACTTGCTTAGCCATCCGTGCTAAAATCGGGAACGTTCTTTCTTTTGACTTCCACCAGTCTAGAACGTCGAAGTCATCATTTTCTTCAAAATCAACTTCATATGTTAAATACAAAGTAATCTCATTCAATGCGCTTTGTTCAGTGACGTGAGTTGTTTTAGTTTTTTTCATAAGATTGCCAAATGCAGATTTAAAAATCGATTTTCCTTTAGATGAAGATGTTCGTGGCGGGGGAGGGGGAGCGTTGCCATATTGTGCACGAAACTCATTAAATAAGGCATAAAATAAAGTACTAACCTCGTTGTATTCCGTTTTCGGATCTATGGGGTTATCCTCATACATTGGAAATTCACTGAAAAACGCAAGATAATAGAAGTTGAAACAACTTTCCAAATTAGCAAGTCTATAACGAGCATCGAGAATAAATGCAATACCATAAATATGGGGAATATGCGCATAATATTTTAAAAACTTTTCCTTCATATGATCACAAAAATAATAAACGAAAACGGCATTTTGAAATTCTTTAAAAGCATCGGCGAGATTAACAGCTTGTGGAATAAATTGGTTTGCAGTAGGTTTATAAACATGACTAAAAGTTTCAGTAGCATTAAAAAAATATATCAAAACATTACAAATTTTTTCGCAAGTGTTGATCTCAGCCGCGTTTATAATATAGTTATCATGTTCTTTTAAAAAAGCAAGAAAATGTTCTTTATATCTAAGAACAACTTTAAGTAATTTATAAGTACTATTCCAACGAATACTCAAATCTTTAGGAAAAGAAACATATCTCACACCTCTTTCAGTCAAATAAGTTTGTCATTTTAATCTAAGTTGACTATTACCCCAAATACGTCTAATCCCCCCTTGATTACCTCCATGGAATCTCCTAACGCTTTTAAACCGTCTTGCACACATAAATTTATAACATGGCATGCACACCGTTGATGGAAAAATCTACCCATCAAAGTATTGGCACCACACAACTCACGCAATCTGGGTATAGCAGCAGTATTATTAGTAGCATTATCGAAACCAATAGCAAACACCTTATCAATCAAATTATACTCAATTAAAATATGCTCAATCAAAATATAAATATGTCCAGCGGTGTGACGATCATTAAATTCACGAAAAGCAAGAACACGTTTATGCATATTCCAATCCTCATCAATATAATGTGCAGTCAGACCCAAATAATATAAATGATGAAAATCATCCTCCCATATGTCAGAACAAATAGTAACACGCCCATCAAAGTTTGCAAAAAAAATTTGTAACCTTTCCTTTTCCGCATTATAAAGCCTTATTATTTCTTTCTTAACAGTTTTGCGACTATAATTTCTAAATTGAGGATTTAAACTACCTTGTGCATAATCTCTTAAAGCAAGACTTTCAGAAAACAAATAAGGCAAATTTTCTTCACAAATTAGGTTAGCCATACCAGTCAAATTTTGTGCATCATTGTAGGAGAAATTACCAAAGGGTTGAGAATTCGCAAACCTCGATATTTGAGTTTGCTTCCCCGTTCCGCCGCCTAATTTTGCATACTCCACGGGGTGCTTTGCCTTAAGATGCCTTGCGGCAGATCCGTATCCGCTGGAGGTTCCCAAACTATAATTGTTGTTGCACCACTTGCAAGTTGCGTGCCAATAGCCGGTTTGTGGGTCCTTCCATTTATCAAAATTATTTTTCATTAGTTCAGACTTACTTTTTTTATTACCGGTGGCGGTTTGGGATGAGGCAGGCGCGTCGGCATCGTGGCTGCCGGCACCCTCCTCCTCGGCCGTCTCCGGTTCCAATTCCTCCGCATCTTCATCCTCAAGCTCCTCTTCGTCAATGGTCGTCGGCATTTGTTGTTGTTGTAGAAAGCGGTTATGATGTCGGGCCAATTCTTGTTGGAGTTGTTCTTCGGACATCGCATCTCCATCTCGCCTTTGGTAACCCGTTTCAAAATCATCTCGACTTTGAGATGAAGACCCGGCAAGTTCTTTACCTTTGCGGGATTTCTTCCTCCCAATCTCGTTTCTTCGATTGCGTTGGAGGTTACCCAAATCAACCGAATATCTACCACCTTCCATCTAAAAAATGTAACAAATATTAATTCACAACAAATATAATAATGGATACAAAACTAATGCAACTAATTAAAACTATTTTAATTAATAGTTCAAACTAATTTAGTGCAAAGTAGAATTAATGTGTGTCTCTACAATTAAAATTATAGCAACTTTTGAAGTAAATAACTAGTACAAGTAAAAATGTAACAACAATGCTAATTAAGTAGTTAACTAGTATAGTGACAAATGTAACAAACTAACAACTAGTTAAATAAAATGTGAAGTATTTTAATTAGTATAATGAAAAATGTAACAAGAATGGTATTGAAGTATTGAACTAATTAACTAGTATAATGAAAAATGTAACAAGAATGGTATTGAACTAATTAACTAGTATAATGAAAAATGTAACAAGAATGCTAATTAAGTAATTAACTAGTATAATGAAAAATGTTACAATAATGGTAATGAACTAATTAACTAGTATAATGAAAAATGTAACAAGAATGCTAATTAACTAATTAACTAGTATAATACTAGTTATAGTAAGTAATATATAATATAATGTTTATATTATATAATATATAAGTATACTATACTATACGATGAGTAATACACTTATATTTTATACTTTAATATATAAATATATATTAAGTAGATGTAGAATGTATGTATTAAGTGGATATAATAATTGTATAAGAATTAAATATTAGAGTATAATGGAGAATTGGAGATTGGAAAATAAGTATATATAAAATATAAGTAGAGAAGTAGATATTATTATGTATTAAGTATATAGTAATAGTTTATAAAGTATATTTAATACTTTATTATATAAAGTATATATTAAGTAGATATAGTATGTATGTATGTATTAAGAGATATAAGTAGAAATTAAGTAGATAAGAAATATAAGCAATATAGTATATGTAGATAATAATATATATAAGTAGATAATTAATATATAAGTAGATATAATAATTGTATAAGTATTAAATAGTAAAATAAAATATAAAGGAGAATAAGAGAATTAGAGAAGATGAATATGGAGAATTGGAGAATGGAGATGAGTAGAGAGTAGGATTTAGAAGAGTTGGAGAAGAGGTGTGAAAAAATGTTTAAAATTAGGAGTATTTATAGGTTTTTTTTTTAACCCCCACCCCCCACCCCCACCCCCCTGACCCCCCCCCCCCCCCCGGTACCACCCAACGGCTATATAGCCGTTTGGGGTGGCCGTTGAGCCAAAAGAATCAAAAAAAAAAAATTTTTTTTTTTTAATATTGGACCGTTAGGCCCGGGCCCGGGCCCGACCCGGCCGGGCCGGGCCTCCAAAACTAGGACCCGAGCCCGGTCCCGCTAACCCGACCGGGTCTCTGCCCGAACCGGACCCGGACCCGAGAACCGGGCCGGTTCCGGGCCCGCACAGTGACGGGCCGGGCGGCCCGAACCGGGTCCACGCCTAATTGCTAGGCGCACTCCATTATTGCTATTTGTAACCTTAGCTAGACCATGTTGCCCCTCCCATTTTTTTAAACTAAAGTAATCTAAAGAAGGGTTGCTATGCGCACTTATTAAATTGCTACTCCATATATTGACAAACCATTATGCTGCCACTTCGAAGGTAACTTTGGTTGATGACTCAAAAATTGATATAATTTAAATCTAGTGCAAATAACATTTTTTTTTAAAAATGGATAAAAATGATTTTTTGTGTATAGAATGTTAGACTATTTTCATTTCCTCTCGACATAAAATATATTCAATTGAATATCTTTTTATGATCCTTCATACGATAAATATAATATATTGCTTTTGTGAACTTTTGAACAATATTATTAGTGTATATTTTAAAAAACCGAGGAACTAAAATGTAATTTTAGTTGTGAAGGTAATTTACTAGGCAAGTTGTAATGTTATATATTTTATATTTTATATTTGATATTTGCAATTTAGTCTTATAATTTTTTACTATACTCATTATTAGTGTTGAACTTTATTCTTATGGTGTTGGGTCCTATAAATAATACTTCCTCCGTTCTTTTTTAATTGCAACGGTCAACATTTCACACTTGCCATAGCACGTCTTTGACCGTAATTATATCTTAATCTCTATTAGTAAAAAATATTTAAAAATTAGATTTTGAAAATTTGTAATGAGATGAATTGAACAATATTTTTTTAAAAAAATAATTTTCATAAAATAATAATATAAAATGTAGTCAAAGTAGAATACGTGAATAGTGTAAAATTCAACATGTTACGATTAAAAAGAGACGGAGGATAGTAGGTCTTTGCAATTTAAGAATTTTTGAACCAGAGACAAAAAATTCAACAATGGCATTATGGCAACATAGTTTGCAGTTAATTTAACGATTTTTACATTACTTGTCGGCTTTTCTGTATTTTTAGAAATCATCACGAAAACATCTCAATTAAAAACATTCTAGATATTATCATGAAACACATTAAAAAAAGAATGAGATACAAATAGTGAGGCATAAAAAAGAATGAATATATTTAGTACGCTATATTTTAGAAGCATGTTACACAAAATTTTAGGAAATATTAAAAGTTATTTTTATTTTAATGAAGCAATATGGCTTGGCAAACAAATTACGCATGTGATACGACCGGTTTTAATAGGGAAAACTTAGTGCGTGCGCCTAGCAACCTAGTTACATGAGTCAGATATTATTGTCCAACTTTGGTGGCGCGCCGAGAAGGTCTGTTTTTAATAAATGTAGAGATTTATGCATCAATCATATCTAAAGTAGAGTACGGGACTGCTCGTGTAGCTCCTTTTTTTTGTAAAAGCAAAAAACACAGTAATAACGTTCCAGCTCGTAAGTATTTTAGTTAGGAAAAGGTCAGAACATTTACTCTTGCATTTTACTTTTCCTAGATATCCTCTCCTCATTTTTCCTTCCCTCCTTTTACCTCCTCTCACCTAAACAAAAGCTTAGGAAAGATGTGAGATATGCTGATGAATTACCTTTGGGTGCTCAAAATCTTTTGCCTGCAAATAACATAGGAATTCGCAACTGAACTGTCAAATGATGATTGTCATGTTTTAATACTAGTAATACCTAAGAGACAAGTGAAAATATTGTTGGGTCAAGATTGCGAGTCCGTAATTTTGCTCATACCCATTCCATTACAAAACAATCATTGGACCTAGTAGATCACGTATATTATATATACGTATTTGCTCAGACCCAAAACCTGTTCATATATAAAAGAGAAAATTATTATTCATATTACTAAAAGATCACGTATTTCCTAATGTATGACCTAGTAGTTTTTTTCCCTAGTTTGTTGCTTGTTTTTCAGCCTTGCCCTCACATGCATATTAAATCCTAAGCCTACAAAATAGCAGCTATCCCTAAATCCTACTCGTGTGTGGTGGTTATTAGTCATATTCTAGTAAAACTCATTTTCTAGTCATATAATGGGAATTCCTCCCTCTTTTAGTATTATTATAGTAATTTTCCCTATATAAAATTATAAAAATATGTTAAACCTGTTCATATATAAAATTATAAAAACATGTTTGTCTTAAAAAACCAAACTCGGAAAAGAAACTAAGAAAAACATGATCTACCTTTAGCAGCAGAAGTAATGGCAGAGAAACTTCTCTATGTCCACGATGGTTGAGTAACTAAACTGGTTAACTGGCAACTCCACAACCAGGTGCAATGAGACTTAATACTTAGTCATACTCAAATTATTATATTAAAAATACATGGACACTTACCTTGTCCATTGTATAAGTATAATGCTCCCAGAATTGGGTAGAGAGCCATGCCCCACCCATCTGACATATAGAATACTTAGGGCCTGTTTACTAACAGAAATATTTTCCAGTTTTTCAGAAAACTGGAAAACTGGAAAACAGAAAACAGGAAACGTGTTTACCAAAGATATTCCTGGAAAACTGGAGAAAGGAAAAAAGAAAAACGCGTTTACCAAATCGTTTTCCAAAACGGAAAAAATGAAACATGTCTCTCTTTTCCTTAATGATTTGGAGAAGTGACTTTTACTAGTTTTCCAAATTTGGAAAACGCATATGTTACAGTGCCTTTGCAATGAATTTCCATACTTACACCTAGTGGTGGGTCCGGTCCCGCTCCGATGTCGATTCCATTCCGGTACCTCCATCCTCGTACCTTACCCCTTACCCCTACCCTACCCTACCCTACCCACCCAACCCCACCCCGCGTACCCATTTTTTCCTATAATGACCTTACCCCACCCCCACCATATGCCCCGACCTCGACCCCACCCCGATCCACCCTACCCTACCCGCCACCCCCTACCACCTCGAACCACCCTACCGCCACCCCTACCACCTCGACCCCACCCCGACCCACCCTACTCTACTCCCACCCCTCGTATATTACCACTTACCCCTACCTTACCCCTTACCACATGCCTCCTACCTCGGCCCCACCCCACCGACATCCTACCCCCACCCTCATACCGCCATGCTACCCCCCACCCTACCCTACCTCGGCCCCACCCGGATCTCAGGCCCACCCTACCGCCATCCTATCCCAACTCCCTACCCTACCCTTACCCCAACCCCAAACCCTACCCAGTACCCCCACCCTTACCTCCACCCTACCCCTTCCTTACCCCGGTCCCACCCTGGTCCCGACCCACCCTACCGCCATCTTATCCCAACTCCCTACCCTACCCCTACCTTACCCCAACCCCAAACCCTACCCACTACCCCCACCTTACCGTCATCCTACCCCTTCCCTACCCCGGCCCCACCCTGGTCCCGACCCCACCCTACCGCCATCGTATCCCAACTACCTACCCTACCCCTACCTTACCCCAACCCTACCAACTACCCCACCCTTAACCCTAACCACGACCCTAACCCACCCACTACCCTAACCCACCCACTACCCCCACCCAACCCCCTACCCCTAGACCTTACCATCCCACCCCGACCATACCCCTTACCCCACTCCCGCCCATAACTTCCCGACCCCTACGAGTAGGTATGGGTGGGTATGAAGGGTTGTGGTGGAGTATGGGTAGAGTGTAAGATCGTGGTAAGTGTAGAGGTAGGGGTCAAGGGTGTGGAATTGGAGAACTGTGTGAAAAAATTGATGAACATGTTTTCAAATTTGAAAATGGAAAACTAAAAAATAGAAACATAAAATTGGAGATAGAAAAACTGAAAAATAAAAATAGAAAATTGGAGAACGAAAAACAGAAGTAGAAAACAGGAAAATATCTCTGTTAGTAAACAGGCCCTTAGGATCTCCTTCATTTGGATATGTTTTTGCCCATATATCAGACATGTGATGTACAAACCCAGCCTCTAGCTCCATACTTCACCTGCAAAGCTCTTCAAGTAAATATACTAATGCTTATAAATACCAGTATGGGGAGTAATATATAGGATAATAACCAGTCACCATCATTTTGTACTACTCTTAGTTAGAGCCCGTCTGGACCACGCCTGGGAGAGGAAGTTTTGACTAGGGCTGGCAATTTGAACCGAAAAAACGAAAATCGAACCGAAAATAACCGAACCGAATTGAAAAAACCTGAACCGGACCGAACCGATAAATTTTGGGACACGAAAAATTGGGACCCCGAAAAAAATTGGTTCGGAGTCGGTTTATATAAATTAATTATCGGTTTGAACCGAACCGATTATTAATTTTGCTAATTAATTATTGTTATTAATGATGTTTAAAGAAGATATAGATACACTTTGAATGCAATCTGAATGTATTGTGCGCGTTGGTCTGCTGGTCAGCCATTTCAAAGCTTTCCTAGGCGTCAGGAGATCGAGTCCAGCTTCACTCTAACTCTTTTTACCCATATCACTTTGTCCCACACCGGACAAATAAGTAGGTTTTCTCCTTCAGATTTCTATATAAAGAGGGATCCTCTGAATGGAAATGGTGTAGCCGAGTAGGCTATGTATTGTCTAATACTACCTAGTCTTATTGAATGGCCCTTATTGGGTTCAATATTCTTTGGGTTAGCCTTATTGGCAAAATTCATTGAATTATAGTTTCATTGAATTATAGTTCAGATTTAAGGTTTACTTTAAAATGGTCGGTTGGTTTCGGTTTTATGGTAAACCGACCCGAAAAATCAGTTCCCAACAAATTGGGACCCGATGGATGAGCGGTTCGGTGTCGGTTAAGCTTATTAAGTAAACCGATTTATCGGTTCGGTTCTAAAATTCTGTGGATCTTCTGTGGATCGGTTCGGTTCCCGAACCGAATCCAGCCCTAGTTTTGACATAATGTTTAGATGGGTTGTCAACTAAGAATAGTACACAATTGTATTTTATCTATCATTGTTATCCTTTTCATTAGCCTTTTCCTATTCCTAGCTTAACTTAAGAAGAGAAAAGAAATGATATATTGAGAACCGAACCTCTACTCTTGGATGAAAGACAGGAGCTTCATCTATGATGGGTCAACATGATTGAACTAGATTCCACCTTGCTAATTAATGACTGTTCTAAGATCTGGAAGAAGAAAAAACGGGGTAAGGAAAAAAATGCTAGATAAATTAGATGGATACTGTGACTGAGGTTTACTTGAGGATATTAAAAACCTAAAAACCTGGTCTAGTGGTCTACAGCCTGGTTTGATTGCCAACTGGTAGTGTACAATTCTATACTGTATAACAAAAAAGAGAGCTATGACACATTCAAAGAAAAACAAAAGGTTATGAGTTAAAACTATTAAGCTGACAATTTGAGAAAAAGATAACTTCAACGTGTGAACTTATGGGAATCTCTTAATACATTAGATAAGCATTACATACTAATGTAACTAAATAAAGGCATAAAAAACATAATGCAATCACGTTCTCTTACCTTTAAACTCAAATGGCTAGCTGGAATTTCAAGGATGCTCCAGTTTTTCTAAGCATGTCTTGGATGGTGTTCCTATGAAGAGATTACAGTTAAGACTTGCTCCCATAAAAAGCTTATTTGGTGTTAGTTCTTCATCTGTTTCAAACAAAGTATTGCATACACTCAAAGAAATATACTTTCTAAGAACTTACGACTTGCAAAGTGACATTCACAGTGAAATTTTGCTTCACAGAAGGAATTTCAACAAACAAAAAACACTTTAATTTGTATAGCTTCATATTACAGAATATAAGTTCACAAAAAAATCAGCCTAACTTAAGACACATAACTCATTACAGAGAATAGTAGATATATCTAATATCTATATCACAATAAATACAGTAATATAAAAATATTATAAACCATATGGATCTAAAATATGAAAATTAAAAAATAAAAAAAAGTGGAGCGGTTACCAGCTGTGAGTGCCCGCGGCGACGAACGAACGCGCGACAACACTGGTGAGCATCGGCGCCGTTCTGGGAGGTCCAATCCTTGACAGAGGCAGAAATCGCCGGAGAGAAGAGGGTTGGCGCAGCAGGGGCGAGGGGCGGCTGGATGGGAGGCGACAAGACGACCAAGTTCAACAAGAGGTGAAGATATCAGCGTTGGCGGACCGGGATCCAAAAAACCACCGACGCGGTGGTAGGCGATGGGATCGTGCTTCGACAGTTAGAGCGCCAACAACGGGTAGGGTTTAGGCGTATCTGTATTCTTGCTTTTTAGCGATTGCTGATCGACGAATATACAAGGCCAGTTGCGACGCTTTATTATTTAGGCACCGCCTTGTTTCAAATATAAATTTAAAAGACGTAGACGACTCAAAAGACGTAGTAATTTAATAAATATATTGCGGCACATAAATTAAAACAAACGCCACAGAGCTTTAAAAAAATTAAAAAATACTACGTATTATTTATTTTGTAGCGTGCGGCGCCGCATGAAATTAAAGGCGCTTTTTAAGTAATAGCCGCACGTCCCCTTATTCGAAGGCGCTTAATTTTAAAGCGCCGCAAATGACATGCTGCATATTGATAGATTTCCACTAGTGACACTTCGTTCAGACAACACTAAAAAAATATAGTTAAGGATGCAAGACAAAATAAGCATAAGTAGGGATGGCCCAGGTCCGGTCCTACCGGCCCGTGAACCGGCCCAGCCCGCTACTGTGCAGGACAGGCCTGGACCAGTTAACCGGGATCGGATCCGGGCCTAGGACCGGCTCAGGGAGATTGTCGGGGGCGGGCTCAGGCTAAACCTCTTTGGAACCGGCCCAATTTTTTTTTTTGGTTTTTCAATTTTTTTGTGGTAGGCGGATTGGGTTGGGTGTTTTAGGGGGGGGGGGGGGGGTTGGAAGTAATTATAACAACTTAAAAAATACAACCCGACCCCGCCTAGGCCTGGTCTGGTCCCGGTGGATCCTGGGCCGGTTTCTGGCCTTTCCCCACAACCAAAAAAACCCGATTTGGACCCCCCCAGAACCGGTCCATGCCTAAGCATAAGTATACCATTATACAGAAATACATATGTACCCATTACAAACAATTCTATTGTGGCCTATACTGGTGAGCGCGTTTATGAACCAGAAAACAGAAGAGGTTTTCAAGTAGAATATAAAAAGGACTACGTATTAACTTTTCGTTGCATGAATGAAAGACGTGGGCTAAAATGGAATGAGAAGAATAGGAGCATTTCACTCTTCTTTAATAACTGATTTTATATATTGAATTTTTATCATATTCAGAATTTTATCATAATTAAACATTAACTCTTAATATGCATTTAAATGTTGGATGGGAAAGTAATTTTGTTTTATCTTTGTAACAACGTAAAATGAATTGGAGATATCTTTGTATGGATCGGTACGATATAACAAATCCCAGGTAACTGTGAATGTTACAACAAAAGAAAAGCAAATGATACTCCATATTTTTAACAACAAACCTAGGTTCTGTTCGTCTGCTGACAGATGACAGGGGATGCCCATTCCAACAATCTTCTTACTTGGGAAAGTTTTTACTTTTTAATAAGAACAACATTTGCTTATTCTGGTGCACTGCAAAAATAAACGAAGAACGCCATATTAAGTGCTTTGCAACAAAAGATTGTGGGGGAAAAAGAACCACAAAAGCATGTAGACCATTCTTACAAATCCATGTTCTTTTCTTGAGAAGACCCAACAGGGTTTGACTTCTTTTTACAAGCATCTTCAAGTTTATCCAGTGGTTGAAGTCCCTGCACAATTCATGACAAAGATGGTCTAATAAATAGCTTTCAGAATCTGCGTA